CCCGACTACGTCCTGTGCAGCGTGGAGATGCAGGAGAAGCTGATGCCTGCCCTGCGTGAGGCCATCACCGAATATTTTGGTTCCAACCCACGGGAGTCCCCTGACTTTGCCCGCATTGTGGGAGATAAGCAGTTCCAGCGCGTGCAGGCGCTGCTGCGCAGCGGGCGTGTGGCCATCGGGGGACAGACAGACGAGAAGGAGCGCTACATCGGTGAGGAGGAGGTTTGGCGTGTGGGGAGCAAGGAAGTGCTTGGCAGGGGGATGTGAGATACGGAAGCAGAGCCATGACCACAGGGACCACAGACAGAGACACGGGGAGATTGTGGAAGGCTCCAAACCAACTTGGGATATTCTACGATTTGGTGACTATGTTTCTGTGGTTCTATGAGCTTTGTTTGGGAAAGGAACCTGTGAAGCAGCAGGTCCCTGGCAAGCCGGGGCTGATGTGAGCACCCATGCCTGTGCAGTGAGCTGTTTGCTTCCTTTCTCCTTCTTCATAGCCCCCACAGTACTGGCAGATGTGCAGCCCTCTGACCCCGCCATGCAGGAGGAGATCTTCGGACCCATCCTGCCCATTGTCGTTGTGGCCAACATGGATGAAGCCATTGACTTCATCAATGCACGGCCCCGGCCATTGGCCATCTACGCCTTCTCCTGCGACAGCAAGGTGCGTGTGGTCCACAGGGCAGAAAAGGGAAGGAGGGAAACTGGGGCAGCGGGACATCAGCACCATGTCCCCTTCTGTGCTCCCTCCAGGTGGTGAACCAAGTGCTGGAGAGGACGAGCAGCGGGGGCTTCTGTGGCAACGACACCCTGATGCACGTGACGCTGACCTCGCTGCCCTTCGGTGGTATCGGTAGGTCCAAGCCCCCAAGCTTGTCCCACCTGCACCCTTGGCTTCAGCTCCCTCGGGCTGATCTCTGGGGCTTTGCAGCCCTGCTTCTGCTGAGTGCATGCGGGGCACTGCAGGTTTTCTTCTCCCCGTGGTCCACTGTGTCAGCAAAAATGCCTCATCAAATATAGGGAAGTTTGTACCACTTGGGTATTTCCTTGGTATTTCTGAGCAGAATGAGTTGCCCACATTCTGTGCCAGGGTTGGGCTTTTGTCCAGCATGAGGTTTACCTGAATGCTCCTCAAATGCTGGTGATTTTGCTCAGTCCATTGCTTGTCCTTGTCTGGGAGCAGATCCATAGCATTGTGCTTCTCAGGCAGGGGAGCTTTCCTCTTGCAGCAGCGTGGTGCTGGATTGCAGCTCTTAACATCACTCAGGAGGCAGTTTGTACATTCATTCTGCATTTTAAGGCTAAATATTAGGAGGAAAACATCTATAAATGTTTGGGAAATTTGCTTGTGGTAATAGGAAGATCCTCCTCAGTCAAGGGGAACAGTTTTTTGCCCTTCGAGGAGCTTATATGCACATAGCAGTTGTTTTCTCATCTGACAAAAGGTCTGCTGAGCTCTGGTTGTAGCACTGTCTACCATGAGATGCTCAGGGGTGAGCACTGAAATACAGGATGACTGTGATGTTTGTTCCCCGGAGTTCTTTCTCAATCCTGTGGTCTCTTCCCTGGAATTTCTCTATTGTGGAGATTATTCTGGGAAAAAGACTCCACGTGCTCAGCACGTCAGAGCTGCCAGCTGATTCAGCCATAATAAGGCAGCACAACAGCAAAGCAGAATTAATTCCTTGCCTGATTGCAGATCAAGGAACAATTGGTGGTGGTTCCTGTGTCGTAACTTATCTTTATGGAAATGATTCAGAGAAACTGCCTCAAATTATCAGGTGGAGGGCCTGAATTCACCAGAGCCAAGATGACATTTGCCAAAGCTATTAACCATGACGTGAAACCTCGAGCTTAAGTCAGCCACAGGAATTGGGAACCAACGTGGCCAATGGCCTCTGATTTTTACGAGGAGCTTCTTCCTGGAGCTCTTTGTTCCAGATGGATTGGTGGCTCCTGACCATGGGTAGATATGGTAGGGCCCCACATCAAGGGGGAAACTGGGGAAATGCGGCCCAGCAAAGCTTTCTGAAGAGCTCGTGACCACATAGGCAGGCACAGACTGGTCAAAAGTTTGCAGCTGGGGCAGCAAGCAATGGTGAGCTGCAGGGAGCAGCTAGTGCGGAGCGACTGAGCCCTGGTGGGGATGGAAAAGGAATGGGGAAGGGCAAAAGGTGCTGCACCGCGTTGGCCGCTGTGTTGGCATGAGAAAAGCCAGGAGTGTCTTTCCCTTGTGCTTATGGTGCTTGAGCTGGGCAGGAGTCCCATAGCAAGCCTGGACCTGTGCTGTTTGTTGCAGGAAACAGTGGTCTGGGGAAATACCATGGCAAGTTCACCTTTGACACCTTCAGTCATCACCGCGGCTGCCTGCACCGCAACATGGGCCTGGAGGCTATCAACTCCCCGCGCTACCCACCCTACACCCAGCAGAAGCTGGGGCTGATGACTGCCACCTTTGAGATCAAGCGCAAGGGCATGTGCACCCTGCTCTGAGCAAGGCCCTGTGCCACATACGGACTGACCAGGACCCAACCCGTGCCACGTCTTGTGTCACACTACCACCCTGATGCATGTTGGACAGTGGGAACTGACCCCTCCTGTGTGCCTGCTCCTCTCCAGCTTCCTGTGCTCAGGGCTGTGTGCTGTGACACATCTAAAATGATGACGGTTTCTTGTTCTCACCCCACCTGGTAGAGCAATAGTGCCCTGCTTGCTCAGGACTGGCAATTAGCCCTATCTCATTTCTGTTTAGATGACCTTCCGATACTCTCCTACTGGCTGTTGTTTTTTTCTCTGTGTATAACTCTGCCCTCAGTAAAGACTTTGCACTGAGCTCTGCGGCCTCACTTCATCCCTCCACTGCCTTCACAGCTTAATCCTGCATCCCTGCACCATACCTGGACACCCTCATTCCCCATCAGGCCATCCCATCATGGGCAGGGGGCCCTCACTTGTGATACAGCCGTGGGGGCAGCTAGAGGAGCTGCAGGGACATTGGGCTGAGGCCCCACGCCAGGGCCGGACCCGAGAGGCAGGGCAGGGCTGTTCTTGGTGCCGTGGTGCCAGGGGCACAGCTTTAAGGTTACCGCTCTCTGTCCTGCATCTTGAGTGGTTTGGGCTGGAGCGCAGCCAGCAGTGACGCAAGGAGCTGAGGGGAAGGGCAGGAAGCTGGCGGTGGAGTCCCTGCTGCAGAGAGAGACGCAGCGTGTGCTCAGCGGCAACACAGCTGCAGTGTTGGGGTGCTAAGCAGGCTCCCCAAAGCCACCCCTTCTGGGTAAGGCTCCCATCAGGCCAAACAGCTGTGGAAGGTGTACTGTGCAGCCCCGTGCTCCTCCTCGTTGCTCCCTGAAGCTGTTGGTTCCTGAACGCAGCTTGGCATGGAGCAGCCTCTTGAGCATCCCGGGCAGCCCACGGATGGTGAGGCTGGCACAGCTGGTGGGGATGACGGTAGCATGAGGTGAGAGCAAAGGGATGGCGACAAGCAGCCGGGCTGGAAGGGAGGCAGGAGGCGCCCAGACAGCCTGGCCACCCCAGCTTGATGCTGCAAGGTGCTGGGTTGTGCTGGGGCAATGCAGAGCCCCTGTGCCTTGGCACCCAAAGGGGGCTGTGATGGGGTCTCCCTGATGCCCCCATCCCTGCAGTGAGAACCCCTATGCGGGGCTGGTGAGCCAACTGCGGGCAGCCTGGCTCTCAGGGAGGACACGCTCCTTGGAGTACCGCATGGCACAGCTGGAGGCCCTGGGCCGATTCCTGGAGGAGAAGAAGCAGGACATCCTGGAGGCCGCCGCCTTGGACATGCGCAAGGTAAGGCCCCCAGGGCTGGGCACTGGAGGATCCAGGGGTTGGCAGGGCTGGGGAGCTCTGCCCTGGGCATGGAGCCCATGGGTGTACATAGAGGCAGTAAGGAGAAAACCATACCCCGTCTCTATCAGGAGCAGCCCATGGGGGCTGCAGGAGTCCAGCGAACATGGAGGGGACACTGCCAACCCTTGTCCCCAGAGCCTCTGCCTGCAAAGAATGGCTGGGGTCATGGGAAACACTTGGACATATTTATCCATCCCTTGCTCCCATCATTTTCTCCCTGCTCTCTCCCTCTGAAACCAATCCCCACCTTGCTTGGTGCTTGGTCAAGCCCTCACACCCAAATGCACCCCATCCTGACTGTATCCCTGGCACCACTGCCTCCCCAGCCTCTGCTTCCTCCCTGGTGCTCCCAGCAGGAGCAATGGGGCAGAGCAGACCCAGTCCTTGTGCTCCAGACCCCCAGCCTGAACCTCCCCACTTCGGGACAGCTCATTCACCTGCACCATGAGCGCTATATAGGGTTCATCATCTTCTTTTCCCCACCTCAGTTCAGAACCTCCCCTTGGACAACTGCCCATCCTTGCAGCCTTTTCTCATTTGTAAACACCAGCTCTTGTGCTGGAAGGTGATGCAGAGTGGTGCTTCATTTCACCCCTTTCCCATGGCTGCTGTGGGACCCCAGGGACTTGGGAGGGTCTTGTACATAAGAGAAGTGCTTGAAATGGGGAAGCACTGCTGAGGAGCCCAAGACTGGATTAGCAGCGACTTGCTGATGGTTGTCTCCAAAACACCACTGATGGCAGCAGCTAGGTAAAGGCACATGGCTGTAAGGACACAGGTACGATGGGTGGAGCGTGACCAAAGATCTGCTCAGCCCCGTCTCTCCAAACAATGCTCAGCAGTTGGCAAATCCACATGATACTTGCAAATACCCTCCCCACTTAGTGTCCTTGGAATGTCCTGGAGCTGTGCACCTCCTGGGGTCTAGGGATTCTCCAAATCCCTGCTCCTTCTGGACAGCCCCATCTCCTCAGGCTCCGCTCCACAGCCTCCTCTGAAGATATCTCAAAGCTTTTGCTTCGCTGCTGTTGCTCCCCTTGAGGCTTGGCAGGGTACCCATAGCAGTGTTAAAGCCCCTTGAGATGGGTGTGAGAGATGCAGGAAAGCATGGAAGCAGTGATGGGCACAGTGCTCTGCACCCCCAGCCACCCTTCGAGGCTGAGTTCTCTGAGGTCCTTCTGTGCAAGAACGAGCTCAATGAAGCCCTGAACAACCTGTCCCGGTGGATGAAGGACAAGCATGTGGACAAGAACCTGGTAAGGGAGAAAAGGACCTTGCCAGCGTGGGCTGCTGGAAAGCCCAGAGCATGAAGAGGGCTGTTCAGGTGGAATCTGACCCACACCAATGTGCTCCTGTAGGTGACGCAGCTGGACTTGGCTTTCATCCGCAAGGACCCCTATGGGGTAGTGCTCATCATTGGGCCCTGGAACTACCCCATCTACCTCCTCCTGGTGCCCCTCATTGGGGCCATCGCTGCTGGTGAGGCTGAGCCCGTCCCTTGCTTACAGGATGTGGGCAGCACATGCCAGGGCTGGGGAACACATTGTTGGTTGAATCTCCCCCCAGGTAACTGTGCCATCATCAAACCCTCAGAGCTGACCAAGAACAGTGAGAAACTCATGGACGAAGTGCTGCCCAAATACTTGGACAAAGTAAGAAGCCCATGTCATCCTTGTCCCTGCCTCATGGCAGTGTTCTTCCCGCCCCTTGTGTACGCTGAGCTGTTCCTATACTCCCCATCTCTGAGTCTTCTGAGATATGCAGACGTGCACCTGTTCTCACCCATTATGCACTCCAAAGCATGGGGTTCCTTATGGCTGTGCTCCCTAGAACTAGCCCCTGGCTGCCCCACTGCTCACTCAGACACAGCACTTCATCCAGGGTGCTGATAGTGGGGATGGGAACAGAGCGACACAGAGGGTCCCCTCCTCTTCTGCTGCAGGAGTGCTTTGCCGTGGTGACTGCTGGTGTGGAGGAGACCACCAGGCTGCT